TTCTGGAATTTCTAACTCTATACGGTCACTTTGCTGGTGAAGAGCTTGAAGAGGATGACGAGGTCTTGGGTCCTGATGAGTACTTCTCATCGGATACTTATGATGAAGCAGAAGGCAGAGAACCAGGTGAAGACTCAGCCCTTCTCAGGCCAGACACAGCTGGCCGGAGGAAGCGCAAGCCCCGCGGTGGTACGGGAACCAACACGCGGACCGGAGCAGCTTTACTTCTACTCAAGTCTTTCGTTGGTACAGGAGTCTTATTCTTGCCGAGAGCTTTCTTGAACGGTGGCATGCTGTTCAGTAGCATGGTACTTCTTGGTGTATCACTACTCAGCTTTTACTGTTTCATCCTCCTGGTTAATACGCGGCTGAAGATTGATGGTTCTTTTGGTGACATTGGTGGTGCGCTCTATGGAAAGCATATGAGGCGCATCATTCTCGGCTCCATTGTGTTGAGTCAATTGGGCTTTGTCTCGGCATACATCGTTTTCACGGCCGAGAACCTACAAGCCTTTGTCCTGGCTGTCAGCAAATGCAAATCTTTTATTGACATCAAGTTCATGGTGCTGCTGCAGCTGGTCATCTTCCTCCCTCTTTCATTGATCCGCGATATCAGCAAGCTCGGTTTCACTGCCCTCATTGCAGACCTGTTCATCATGATGGGGCTGGTTTACCTCTTCTATTACGATTTCTTGACTATCTCCAACCAAGGCGGTGTTTCGGATATCATATCCTTCAATCCATCCACCTGGACACTTTTTATCGGCACGGCTATTTTCACATATGAGGGCATTGGTCTGATCATTCCCATTCAGGAATCAATGAAGCACCCGCAAAAGTTCCCGGGTGTCCTCGCAATGGTGATGGTCATAATCACGATCATTTTCCTCAGCGCTGGTGCGTTCAGCTATGCGGCATATGGATCCGCAACGAAGACGGTAGTCATCCTCAACATGCCTCAGGATGACAAGTTTGTAAATGCTGTGCAGTTCCTGTATTCTCTGGCGATTCTTCTCAGTACCCCACTGCAGCTCTTCCCGGCCATTCGAATCTTGGAGAACGAGCTTTTCACTCGCAGCGGAAAGTACAACCCCAGTATCAAGTGGAAGAAGAATTGCTTCCGGTTCTTCCTTGTCATGATCTGTGCATTTATTGCTTGGGGCGGAGCAGAAGACTTGGACAAGTTTGTTTCGCTTGTCGGAAGTTTCGCCTGTGTCCCCTTGATTTACGTATACCCGGTAAGTTAAATAATCAAATACCTTCGTCTAGTCCGCCAAATCGATTACTAACCTCTGCTCAGCCTCTACTGCATCTCAAGGCCTGTGCCCTATCGAGACGACAGCAGATTGCCGATATCGCACTCTCCGTTTTCGGAGTCCTCAGCTGTTTGTATACGACCGCCCTGACGCTCAACAACTGGATTAACGGGTCGGACGTCAAAGCCCCCGGCTACTGTGACTCATAGATTGTGTAAATGTCATGATTTTTATCCCGTTCCTTCGGATCGGCTCTCTGGATATGAATGATTGATGCTACAGTGTGAGGCCATCGTCCATTCGATGGATTGGCCTATACTTTTTGGTCTGATTGCTAAACCCCTGTTTGATTAAATCTTGTTTATTATTGCTGTATTCTCGAATGTATTCGGTATAGACTAGAGATTAAATTGCCAGTATATGTCTATAGTAACCTTATTCATCTTCCCTTTAAACAATAAATACTTACTCACATGAATAAAGCCAACTAAACCAAATTCTACCAGATCATCAATGTCTAAACCTTGTTGATGCGCAAACAAAAGCCTATATACAGAAAACCCCGTGCATGCCCAGCTGCTAGATACAAAGATATCTCATAGTCAACAGCAGAAAACCCCCCACCAAACAAAACTACCAATCCCAGCGCCACTATTAATAGTACAAGTGGCTGGAGCCTTCCCATATCTTACCTGGATCAACCCTCAACGTACAGGTCTCTCATTGATTCGGCGATTTGATTCATTGATATTGTGGTATTGTCTACTTAAATGGGTAGGTAGGCAGGCAATGCTGCTAAAGACGTATGAGGTACTCATAAGCCGCGCAGCAAGCGGAATGAGGCGATAAAGTCGAGAAAAAGAAGATGACGTCGTTTAAGCGCCAGCCTCGGTGGCATCCTTGCCCTGCTTGGCGGCCTCGGCGAGCTGAGCTTCACGGCCTCCCCAGCTGTTGATGCGAAAGTCAGCATTATCATTTCATTGTCTCAATGGGGGGTGTGAATGAAGGGTCGTTTTGTGACGTACTTCCAGTAGTTCAGGTAGCGGTATCCTTGAGTCAGCTGGGCGGAGAAGTTGACGGCGTGGCAGGCGAACAGGAGGTAGTTCTTGGGGGAGACGGCAAGGGCGTAGCGCATGAAAGTTCCCGAGTAGATAACGAGGGCACCGGTCATTTGGCCGGAGATACTGTGTAGATAGAATGACAGTTAGCAGACAAATTACTGGTTAGGATACTGGCATGTTCGTCTGAGCTATCCCGATAAGCTCTCAAAGCTTGATTCGATGTGCAGTATATATTCAGGAAGAAACCCCCGCGGAGCGAGGGGAGGTAATTGTAGCGACGTACATTTCAGGGTCCTTCTGGGTATCCATCACCGCTGCAATGGGGATACCGAAGTTGGAGGCAGGGCCCCAAAAGTCTAGTTGAGATCATTGTTAGCCAAGAGAAATTGCTTTTTATGAACCAGATTTGGCTAAGTAAAGAGCTCCGTGTTTGTGACCGATAACATGTGCTGAAAGGAGTCACTGAAGTTGCTCAACAACCCCTTCAAAACATGTCTTAACGGCAGGCATTCTTGTCGGCCGATCTCGGTCAGGATCACGGAGAGGGTAACGGTGAAGTTTGAACGTACGGGTAGAGCAGAAGTAATCCAGGGCCTTGTTAGACCGGATCTTCGCATTGATTGCCTTAATTGCAGCGGCCATCTTGACGACTCGAAGGCTTTGAATTGAAGTGAGGAGTGGAGAGGTGATCAGAGGTGAGTACGCAGGGCCGAGCGGTTTGCTTTCCTCACTCCGTCACCTGCAGTCCGCGCCGGGCGGAGTTACCCGGAGACGGTCACGTGCACTATATCCCTGCGAAGTCGTTGGCTGAATCAAACCTGCTAGGTGCTTACTGCGTACTACTAGGCTAAATCTACACCTGCAGCTGTCCAATCGCCGTAGAATTGAAGTATACTCTTACATGAAACAGAGAAATTAAAGGCTTCAAACCCTCATTAGGATTCACTAGTACAATTGAGTGCTCGAAATACATCTAGCATTACTTCTGTCGGTCTTATCCTTTTTTTCGGTCGACCTTTTCTTTTGTCAGGGCATTCCCTGCATCCGCACACGCCGCAACGCCTTTGCCTGGTAAAACTCGGGGTGCTATGCCTATTCGTCTGAGGTTTGTCAAGTAGGCGACTAATGGGAAGTGAATATTGTTCGCTTGATTCGTAGTTCGAAGTATCTGCCATGCCGGTGTCATGGCCAGGTTGCAAGCCATCATGCTGCTGCACATACTATCAAATCACCGTCCACCAAAGCCGGGTGGAGGGAATCCGCGTCCCTGTCCAGGGGGCTGGAATCCCGGTGGGGGTTGGAAAGCACCCGCTACAACAGCCTCGGTTAGCTCAAGAACCATAACGCGCAATCTTAGGATACTTACGAGGAGCACCCTGAGGCGCGAATCCCGGGGGAGGAGCGAAGCCAGCTGATAGCTTATGTCAGTAACCATGTTCAACCATTGAGCTCGAAAGTGCAAACTTACGAGGTCCACCAGGGGCACCACCACGACCAGCGAAGCCCGGAGGGGGAACTCCAGGGAAACCACCACCAGGAGGGAAACCAGGGAAACCGCCGGGCGGCGGGGGAGGGCCACCAACACCCGCAGCAGGGCCTCCCAGACCGACCGGCAGACCACGTCCAGCGGGTTTGCTAATTCCAGGGCCAGCTGCGAGAGTGGCAGCTGCGGCAGCTGCACCAGGGCCAGCAGTACCAAGTCGGGCAGAGGGATCGGCGGGAGGAGGTCCATCAACGGAGCAAGAGACGACATGTGTACCGCGAACAATGGTAAGACCCAGGGTGCGCTTTTCTTCGGCTTCGACAAGAGGTGCGTTGGTCGAACCGGCGGCGGGCTTGGACTTGCGCTTGACGCGACGGAATTCTTCTGTATCGGCGAGGACAAGGTTCATGTGCTATATTACTGCGTCAGCGACCAGCATACCACAAGTATTATCCGATGGCCACTGAATGGCCCGGGGATTTATACCTTATCGAAAGCGAGCATCTGTCCCGTCATCTGTCGGCCATCATTGAGGGTGACTCTCATCCGGTAGTTGATCTGAGAATAATGTCAGGTTCGACGCGCGAGTAAAACATGTAACGTCAGTGACTTACGAGGTTTTGCTAATCAGAATGAAGAGAATGAGTTAGCCACGCGGACATAGGTATACAAGCTGATATCAACAGGAAAGGGAAGGATCCGATCAACTCACCATCTTGCCCTGCTTATTAGCCGCCATGTTGGGCTATGAATGCGCACGAGTGCGACTTGAGTAAAACCAAAGAATTGTTTTGTGAGATGGTAGAAGGGGTAAACTTCTACTTAATCGTCACTTTGTCCTTACTGAGCTGTCGCGCTCGGAGTGAAGGTCGGTCGAGGTCTGCAACACTTTCTCCAAGCGGCACCAGCTCGACTTGCTACGGGTCGGAGGTCCATGAGGCGCGGCTCTGCGGCTTGGCGCCAGTCGACCGCGCCAAGCCACTAAGGGCTCTCGCTTCCCACTTTCAACCCACACATTTCCCTTTTACACACTTTTCGATCCTTGAGTTTCTTCCAACCAACCAGTCGACCAGTTCACGCCAAAAGCAGTCGCCATGGTATGTTGCCCATCGCCAATACACTTTCCAGCATTGATATAAACCCGATTCTCGAGACTCCGAAAATTTCATAGACAAATTTTTTTCTAACATTTTTGTCGCCATGCAGTCGGAATCCAAGGACAAGTCCGCCAACCCTATGCGCGAGCTGCGCATCCAGAAGCTCGTGCTCAACATCTCCGTCGGCGAGTCTGGTGACAGACTTACTCGCGCTGCTAAAGTGCTCGAGCAGCTGAGCGGTCAGACTCCGGTCTACAGTAAGAACGCCCGAACCCGCTGAATCCGAGAATTTCGAATACGAAGCAGCCGAGGAAGGAGGATATGACAACTGTGATATGGAATGGATGGCTGATGGGATGATTTTTTTTCCAACGTTTAGGCAAGGCCCGTTACACCGTCCGTACCTTCGGTATCCGTCGTAACGAGAAGATCTCCGTCCACGTTACCGTCCGTGGCCCCAAGGCCGAGGAGATCCTTGAGCGTGGTCTTAAGGTCAAGGAGTACGAGCTCCGCAAGCGCAACTTCTCTGAGACCGGTAACTTCGGTTTCGGTATCTCCGAGCACATCGATCTGGGTATCAAGTACGACCCCGGTATCGGTATCTACGGCATGGACTTCTACTGCTGCATGTGAGTGCACTCCAACCTCTACGCAGTCCTAGTTCGACAGACCCATCGGTGTCGATCCAGATTGAGCAGGACAATTCAAGCATCAGGAACTGACTTGGAATCACTAGGACCCGCCCTGGTGAGCGTGTCGCCAAGCGCCGCCGCTGCAAGGCCCGTATCGGCTCCCAGCACCGTATCACCCAGAACGAGACCATCAAGTGGTTCAAGAACCGCTTCGACGGTATCGTCCGGTAAATGCCCTCATCCACGGGGTCTTCAGGAGGGAAAGCTCCGGGGTTGTGTTTATGATGAATCGATCAAAAATTGGTCAGAAAAGGAGGCAGGCGTTCTTGAAAATCATTATCGCTCTGCTCTGAAATATGGCTTTTCTACCACGGCATGAGGTTAGGCGTGTTAGAGATATCAAATTCCCAAATTTTTCATACGCATCCACTTTTCTCAATGAAGGCTTCACGAAGGGTGATGATTTCCGCATAACCATTGATGAAAGGTCTCCCATGATGCTTTTGCTGTGTTTTGCCACTTGTACCACTTTCAACACACAGTGGTGCTATAGTGTGCATTTGGCCTGAAACTCAATCTCTCTGAGATTGAGTGTTTTCTTTTGCGAGATGTGCTTCTAGCATTATTCTCTGCTACCCCAGGACTGATGCTTGAGAAACATGGGTCTCAACACCCTGTTTCTGTGCTCCAGTCTCGGCCTCGTAGTGGTATCTTTGAAAACTCTTTGAGTAGATAAGCCGACCGACTCGTATTAGCCAAACTGGCTGTTGACCGACCGCGCCCGTAGAGTCTAGCCCATACCCCGGGTCTCGCTAGTGCTCCTGATTGCCGCTCGACAGGCATGCTACCAAGTTTTTGATGGGGAAATCCTCTTGTGAAACTGCTTAGGCTTGGGTCCAAGGTCCTAATTACGTGCCAATTCTGGCATGTATAGTTTGGGGCTGGCAAAACTTGCGACCGCAGAACCCCGCATTCTACTGTCCCTTACGATTCAAATGTGCCACCAACCAAGCGCTAGTCAAATTATGTTTGTTGACTATTACAGTAGTCATCATACGTACATGCAACACAACTTCATCGAGATAGCATAGCTATACGTCGCATGACTCAAGTTATAACAATATCTGCATAAAACACTGAGGGGTCTGGTCCCTCACGTCCAACATATCCGATGTCATAGCAACTTATCAAAAAGGGATTTGGTTGGGATTATTTACTACCTCCTCTCGTGTATCCATCCCACCACTTGGCGAAGAATCCGCCCTGCTGGCCCTGCTCGTTCCAGCTTTCACGGCGTGTATTGAGAGTCTGGTCAGTAGAGTTGCGCTTCTGGCTTGTCAGACTCTCAAATAGGCTAGATGCGCCATGGCCTGTCGAGCGTCTTCTATCCCCAACGCTGGGGGGAGGGCTGTTGCTCAGGTTGGCAGAGTTGGAAGACATATCCGATGAATCAGAGCCCTTCGTATATAGAACGGTTAGTTAGTGTAGATGCTAGGAGTGTGAAGGTGCCAATCATCAGGCTGAAGTCAAATGCTCGGGATGATGACAGAAACTGTTCAGACATACGCGTCTGTCGGAAGTGGCAGTGGCAGCGGTGGTGGTAGGGATCGAAGGCCGACGGTAGGTCTCAGGGGGACCTCCTCGCACCCAGACATTGAGATGCTCGTAGCGATCACCGACAGTGCCATGCCAATGACGGGGAGACTGGGGCTGTTGGTTGTTGCTCATGGTTCCTCTTTTCTTGTACTTCTTGGTTCTCGATGTTATCGAAGGAGCAGTATCAACTGCGTGCTTCGTAAGTTGAAGTGAGGATGTGATCCATAGGAAAAGGGACTAAACAGGTGCATGTGTATGGCAAACAACCGCTGGTGAATAGCAGCCAAATCGATCACGGGCTATGGTTACATAGCTCTTTCATCATGTGACCGGGAGGCTCCGGTGTCATCTCAACGACAGATAATCAAAGAAACAGAGTCCAGCTGATCGATATTGAAGAGGGCGAACTCGAAATCAAGACTTCAACTTACCGGTTAGCTTAGTTTCAGTGTGTTCTCGATACAGGAGTTGTTTTTACCGATCTGAGCAAATACCCGGGACGACAACAGCTCCTTATAAGAGATTCCCAAAGTAAGAGAGGGGTAAGTCAGCCACCCTCCGAGTGCTGTGAACCAGACCCTAGGTATGATGATGCAGCAAGAGGCAGGCCCATAGGTCTGAGGGGGCAAAAGTACGTCCATGAACCAGTAATGGGCAGTAATGGCTTGGGGACCCCGGTCCTAGGAATGCAAAAGCTTCTTTGACAACGGCAATGATTCATCATCTCTGGGAAATCGTATACGTCGATCCACGGATAGTTTCCAAAGTATCACAAGTTATTTGGGATTAATCAGCTCTCTTAGGCGGAAACAATCCAATTAAACGATGTGCAGAGTTGGTCGTGTGCCAATGGAATTCATCCATGATGGCTTGACGTCAGGTGCTCTGCCAAATGCGGGGATCGAAGAGTAACTGCGCAGAGAGAAAAAGTACCGTCTGTTCTCTTCCTGTGAAGCATCAATATCTGCACTGTGTCTAGAGACTGTTTATCTTCAATGAGCGGGGTAATGTGCAACTAACTAGCTGAGGATATATTTGATGGCATCTGTCATCTATTCGGAAATGGCGCAGCATACAATGGAGGTGTTGAACCGTATAACACACAGACTTGGGACCCTGAAATGAACATCATCATAGGCACTGGCTTAGCATTTGCGCACAGCGTACACATGCATCAGAAGCTAGAGGAAAAGTGTGAGTGACAGGCAGACACGGCCGAGGAACAGGCCATCACTCCATCCTACTGCCGACCCATGCATTTTATGCCTCAGGCAACGAGCGGCATCCAAATCTGGGGCCGAAGCGGAACGAATTCAGCTTCCCCGCGGGCCGCTTTGATATGCCTCGCCCATCTTGACCGTTTATCATGGTTCAGCGTCCGCGTCCCCCCTTTACATTTCCGCTATATCTTATCATTCTATAGGCTATATTTGCCGACGATCTAGCAATCATATCACTTATCATAGGATTCGTCAGTTCTTCCCCCTGAGTCTCCACCGCCCGCCAAGATTTCGGCCATCGGGACCCTTATCATGCGCTAAAGACGCGAGCGCCCTCCCCCTCGTGCGGAGATGCCGTCGGTCAGAACGGCCCTTTCTGGGGCTATATCTATCCATGGAACCTCGTGTGCCATAGCCTTCGACCATTTCTCACTCTCTATTATACCACAAGAGCTCTAAGACGACCCGCCATATATATATTCATTCTCCCAGCCCACAATGGCACTTCTGGAGACATTTGGTCATCCCTACTTGAAGTCCCTGGCCCATCGTGGCTACATTCAGGGCACCACTCTGCACTCAAAAGCGACTAACCAGCCCCTCTGTCACTATTTTGGATCTGTACGATATGCCCTTCCTCCTCCTGAGAGATGGCGCCGGGCACAGAAGCTGCCCGAGTCTTATTCCTACGGCACCAAAGACCAACCCGCCCCTTGCGACCAAGACGCTGCTGTCTGTCCGCAGCCCAGCTTCATGGGTCGTCCGTACACGAAGGGGTTCACAGAGGACTGCTTTGAAGCCAGCGTGTGGGTACCGCTAGGCGAGCCCCCCAAGGAAGGTAAGTATCGTGGTCCTTGACATATCAGCCGAAGCTAATAAAATGTTCCTATAGGCTGGCCGGTTCTTTTCTTCATCCGTATGCGCGCCCCTCTGAAAGTGCCTACAACTCATTCCTTGAATCTAATACTGATGATTTCACATCTTAGACGGAGGCTGGCTACAATTCGGCCACCCGAACGGATTCTCGGCCGCAGCCCTACTAGGCGATGCTGGACTCAACGCCATTGTCGTCCTTCCAGCCTACCGGCTGAACGTCTTCGGTTTCTTATACTCCTCGGAGATCGAGAAGGACGCCTCCTCTGTAGGCGAAACAGCAGGCAATCACGGCTTCTGGGACCAACGTCTAGCCCTAGAATGGACGAGGGACAACATCAGCCTCTTCGGCGGCAACCCATCCCAGATCACCGTCTCCGGATACTCGGCCGGTGAGTTGCCTTTTCACCCCCTCTCCCCTATGCGAAGCCGCAAAACTAAACCCAACCAGGCGCCTACTCAACATTCTACCAACTCGCCTACGACCTCCAATTCCCCGCCTCCCAAGCAATAATCAAACAAGCCTGCATCTGGTCCAACGCCGCCGCCGTACAGCCCAAATCTCCAGCCTCCGCCCAAGAACAATTCGATCAACTCCTCTCAGCCCTAAACATCCCCAGCACCCTCCCCTGGGCCGAGAAGATCTCCCATCTCCGGTCCCTCCCCTCCCAAACTCTCCTCGACGCCGCCATGAGCGTGCAACTAAACCAATACCGCCCAACCTCCGACTCAGCCTTCATCCAACCCACTCTCTTCAAATCCCTAGACAGCGGAGCCTTCGCGCGCACCCTCTCCGCACGCAACATCCGCATCATGCTCGGCGAATGCCGCGACGAGCGACACCTCTACGCCGCCTGGTTCCCACCACAATCCGACAGTGTCTCCGCTCTCCATTCCAGACTTCTCGCAGATTACCCGCGCCACGTCGTGGACACGCTCATGAAGCTCCACTACCCGGACGGCAAGTTACCATCGTGCTGCAAGAACTGGGACAATGATGCCTTCGGGCGGGTGTATGCCAAGATGCAGGTGCATGATATGCAGCGCGGGCTGATTCATGCTCTTGCTAGTGGCGGGGCGGGACATTTGCTTTATCGGTATCGGATTGAGTGGCGGGCTAAGTGTGTGGATGCCAATATTCCGCCCGACTGGGAGGTTACGCATTCTAGTGATTATCCGATTTGGTTCTGGGGGAATGGGCATGTGTTGGAGCCGGAGGAGAAGGGTGTAATTCGGCGGGCTTTGATTGATCCGTTTATTAGGTTTGTTCATGGGGAGGGGGATGTGAAGTGGGGTACGACGCATCATCGGGAGATGAGGACCTTGAAGCCTGATGGGTCGGTTGAGATTGTGCAGGATACTGCGCTTTGGGATGAGGCGATGCGCGTCTGGAAGGCGTTGCGGGAGGTGGGAGAACCGGAGGCTTCTGCTGCGAAGCTCTAAAGGAAGGGATTCAATGCCTCTGACTTATGGAGAGGGCATTGATCCTGTATATATCACATGATGTCTCTATATGCTGCATCTACTAGAGACTACGAATATCTGGACTGATGTTTTAGAATCACTTGTCATTCATATGGTTGACATAGTATGTCCCCGACAACCATTGATCGTAAATAAGCTGTGGCATAAATATGGAAATAACCCAATCCCAACCCAAAATATTTCATAAACATAACAGACGCTCTAATCTAAAAAAAAAAAAAAAAAAAAAAAAAGAATATTGGCATAGTGTCCTTGTTCAGCGTGAGGAAAAATAAGCCGGTCGCAAGGACATCAACATCGACATTAGCTTTTCAAACATTGCCGTCATAACGGTGTTACTCTTCTAGGCCTTGACGATCTTGCACACGAGATCCTGGCCATCCACCGAGTCACCTTCCTTGACCAGCAAGCTGGAGACCTTGCCACTGTGGGGAGCAGAGATAACCATTTCCTATTGAATGTTAGCGGCTGATCATGGGTTTTGATTGATAGTTCTAGGGTTGCACATACCATCTTCATGGCGCTCAGAACGGCAATGGGGTCACCCTTCTTGACTTCCAAGCCGTCGTGGACACGAATCTCGACAACCACACCGCTCATAGGAGCACCGACCTGGCTGCTGTCACCCAGCTCAGCCTTGGGGCGGGCGGTGTTCTCGACGGACGCCTTCTTGTCGTCCACGCTAACCTGGCGAACCTCACCGTTGACTTCGTAGAAGACCTCGCGCTGACCGGTCTGCTCGGAGAGGGGACCGATGGCCAACAACTTCAGGATCAGCACCTTACCCTTCTCCAGCTCGACGTGGAATTCCTCGCCGATCTCGGGCTTGGCCAAGAAGTAACGCGTGGGCAGGACGGACAGATCACCAAACTTGGCGACAAACTTCTTGTAATCCTCGAAGACCTTGGGGTACATGGCATAGCTGGCCACGTCGTACTCGGTGGCTGCGCCATAGTTCTCCCGGATCTGGGCCTTGATCTTGGCCAGGTCAAGGGGCTCAAGGTACAGACCAGGGCGCTTGTCGAGCTTGCGACGGTCACGCAGAGCGCGAGAGCGCAGAGGCTCGGGGAATCCACCGTAGGGCTGGCCCATGAGACCCTCGAGGAATTCCAGCACGGAACCGGGGAAGTCAAGCTCGCCGGCGCGGGCAATCACATCTTCAGCGGTCAACTTGTTCGAGACCATGAACTGAGCCAAGTCACCAACCACCTTGGAAGTGGGAGTGACCTTGACAACATCGCCCAAAAGATCGTTGGCAGACTCGTAGGCCTTCTTCGTCTCAGCCCACTGCTGGCCCAGACCAAGCTGGCTGGCCTGGAAGATCAGGTTGGTCAACTGACCACCGGGGATCTCGTGCTCGTAGACCTCGGGGTCGGGACCGGTCAGACCCGCCTCGAAGGGCGAGTAAAGGAGACGCAGCTGGGCCCAGTAGGTGTCAAGAGCGCGCACCTGGGACGAGTTGAGGCCAGGGTCGTGCTCGGTTCCCTCGAGGGAAGCGAGGATAGCACCAATGCTGGGCTGGGAGGTCATGCCGGAAAGACTGTCCGTGGCAGCATCAACAGCATCAGCACCGGCCTGGGCGCAAGCAATCATAGAAGCCACACCGGTACCGGCGGAGTCGTGGGTGTGCACGTGGATGGGAAGGTCGGGGTAGCGCTCGCGGATGGAGCCGATCAGCAGACGAGCAGCCTGGGGCTTCAGCACACCAGCCATGTCCTTGATACCCAAGACGTGGGGCTTGAACTGCACCACCTTGTCGACAAGGTCGAGGTAGTAAGGCAGGTTGTACTTCTTGCTGGGGTTGAGCATGTCACCACTGTAGCAGATAGTAGCCTCAACAACACCCTCAGCAGCGTGAACAGCCTTAATACCGACCTCGAGCTGGTCAACGTCGTTGAGAGCATCGAAGACACGGAAGATGTCAACACCGCACTTCTTGGCCTGCTTACAGAAGTGGTAGATGGCGTTGTCGGGGAGGGAAGAGTAGGCAACACCGTTGGCACCACGGAGCAACATCTGGAAGGGGATGTTGGGAACGGCCTTGCGCAGCTTGCGAAGACGGTCCCAGGGGTCCTCGTACAGGAAGCGCATGGCGACATCGAAGGTGGCACCACCCCAGCATTCCAAACTGTAGGCGTTGGCGAGGGCGTGGCTAGTCTCGTGGGCGATGTTCAGGAGGTCAATGGTACGCACACGCGTGGCCAGCAGCGACTGGTGGGCGTCACGCCAGGTAGTATCCATGATCAAGCAGCCCTTGTTGGCACGCACAGCGCGGGCGAAAGCCTCGGGACCCTCGCTGTCCAAGATCTGCTTCCATCCCTTGGTAGCGGGGACAGAGACGTCGAGGGGCTTGCCGGCAGCGTCATGCAGGATGGGCTTGATGATATCGCCCTTGAGCTTGGGCTCGCCGATCTGGCCCTTGATGCTGCTACCGTTGACAGCCACATCACCCAGGTAAGCCAGCAGCTTCTGGGCACGGTTCTGGCTGCCGACGAGGGCGAACAGCTCGGGAGTGTCATCAATGAACGTGGTCCAGCAAGTACCGTCGACGAAGACAGGGTGACTCAGAAGAGAAGTGAGGAAAGGAATGTTGGTCTTGACACCACGGATACGGAACTCGACCAAGGCACGAACGACCTTGCGGCGGGCGATCTCGTAGGTGGAACCACGGCAGGTACACTTGACCAGCATGGAGTCGTAGTGAGGGGTGATGATGGCACCGGCGAAACCGTTTCCACCATCCAGACGGACACCGTTACCACCGGCAGAGCGGTAGACCTCGATCTTACCGGTGTCGGGGGAGAAGCCCTTGGAGGGGTCCTCGGTGGTGATACGGCACTGAATAGCGAATCCACGAGTGGAGATGCGGTCCTGGGTCAGGCCCAGCTGTTCCAGGGTAGCACCAGCCGCAATCTGGATCTGAGCAGCAACGATATCAATGCCCGTGATCTCTTCGGTGATAGTGTGCTCGACCTGGATACGGGGGTTGATCTCAATGAAGTAGTAGCGGTTCTGCTGGTCGACCAGGAACTCTGCAGTACCGGCGTTGCGGTAGTTGACCGACTTGGCCAGCTTGACAGCATCAGCCAGGATGCGGTCACGGACGTCGGCAGGCAGATCCTTGGCCGGGGCAATCTCAACGACCTTCTGGTGACGACGCTGGACAGAGCAGTCACGCTCGAACAGGTGGACGACGTTGCCGTGGTTGTCACCCAGCAGCTGGACTTCAATGTGCTTGGGGCGGTCGAGGAAACGTTCAACGAAGACGGTGCCGTTGCCAAAGGCAGAGCGGGCCTCGGAGGTGGCACGCTCGAAGGAGTCACGCAGTTCGGCCTGGTCGCGGACGACACGCATACCACGACCACCACCACCGAAGGCGGCCTTGATAATGATGGGGAAGCCGTAGGTGTCGGTGAAGGCCTTGACCTCCTCGTAGCGCTCGACAGGGCCCGGGGTACCAGGCACGACGGGCACGTCGCAGCTGATAGCCAGCTGACGGGCGGAGACCTTGTCACCAAGGCTCTCAATGGTCTGGGGGGTAGGGCCGACGAAAACCATGCCGTTCTGCTCCACCTTGCGGGCAAACTCGGCGTTCTCGGACAGGAAACCATAACCCGGGTGGATCAGGTGCACACCATGCTCAAGAGCAATCTTGACGATCTCATCAATGGCCAAGTAGGCCCCGACCGGTGTATATTGACCGCGCTTGCCAATCATGTAGGCCTCATCGGCCTTCTGACGGTGCATGGAGAGACGGTCCTCGTGGGAGTAGACGGCGACAGTCTGCAGGGACAGCTCATGGGCCGTCCGGAAGATACGAATGGGGATTTCACCACGGTTGGCAACAAGGATCTTCTGGAACTGCATGATGGCCGAATTGGCACGCAGACGGGTGTGGACAGAGTCCCTGTGCTGGTCATGGTGGTCATCGATGAACTCGGTGTCATCGACCGCCTCCTCGGGCTGACGGGGAGCAGCCATGGCGGGCGGGGTGTGTGTGTGTGCTTGTTGATAAGGATGGATAAGGGTGGGAGGGGGAGGGTGGGGAGCTAGAGTATAGGAAGGGAAGATGGAGAGCTATTCAGAGGAGATCTAGATGAGAGAGAGAAGACACAGGGAGCTGGGGATGAAGGGAAATATAGTATACGAGTTAGCCGAATGATCCAATGATGCTCGGAAGAAAAAAAAGCAAGCCAGAAAACGGAGCAGTGATACGTTGGCGTGAGTCACCTGGGGAGAAGGTGCTTCCGGGGAAGAAAAAGGCCCGGTTTCGGAACGGGAAAGCGTGGGAGAGCGCGGGGAAATCGTGGGAGGATTAGGGAACTCAATTGGAGGGATCCGGCGACTTACCCGACGGAAAAAGGAGGATGAGGAGGAGGGGAAGGACCTCAAGAGGATGATGCGCGTGAGGAGAGGAATGAGATGAGAAAGTTGGGAGGAAGAAGAGGGAGAGAGGGAGGAGAGGAGGGCATAGAAGTACTTGGGGATGATGACCCTCATCCAGCGGCTGCCCGGCGAGCCAAAGCAGAGGAGCGGAGGGGCAGGTCAGCGCAAGGCGGAGGAGGGGATCCCGGACGGGCGATGACGCTGCGGCACGATTGGCAGGCGGTACTGTAATCAGATTACACCGCTGGGCCCTGGACTGTAAGCTATCGCCATAGTAAAGTGGCTCCAGTCCAGAGTGCAGTGGGTAATTTCATTACGGCGCTAGTAGACGCCCCCCTCCCCAGAAGCTCGACCTTCACCGGCACACCGGGCTGCAGCATGTGGGTTGGTGACCCATGGAATGTCATGCTCGGCCTGTCTGTCTGGCTCAGTCCATTTGCCTTTCTGCTCTTTTTTTGCTTCTCTTGGGTAGGGTTGCAGTGCCTCCGTTCGTCCGGATTCATTGGCTGTCAGAAAGATTACAGTTTGGTGGGGGTTGTCGTCCATTCACAGTTGGATCATCGCCATGGACGCTCGGTCAATGGATAGTTTCCCGCGTGAATACCTGGCGGCAACGATGGCTTGCTTTTCTTACATCTTGCACGCTATGTAGCTTAGCTACCATGCACACACTCTCGCTCCAGCATCACTCTCACATCTATACCGAAAATGCATCGGGTAGTTCAGGCGTCGCGTTCTCTTCCTTACCTCGGGTGCTCGGGCTAATTCATGCCTGCCAGAGCTCATGGAGCGTTCCAAGCTCGGGAAAGACGTTTCGTCAAGGTTACCTAGCAACATCGGCCTCTCCTGCCCTGATATCATGTAGCCGTCTGTAAACGAACCAAAACCCAGACCTTCCCCACCGTATCTCCGGCGATAGGCGACGGGGATCTTCATCCAGAAGCTGGCAAGAATCATCCGAGCGAGAGCACGCCAGCCCCCCCAGTCAGTCCAGCCCGGTGTACGTACTTTGTGACCGAGCCATGCATCGTGCCCTCTTTGCACCGATTCAGCCCTCACCCAAATTGCATCTATCAGCTTGGCAGTTTCTGCGATCGTCGCACCATGGGCCATCGATGCGAGGCGCTTCGGTGGATGGTAAGTCCGGGCCAAGCTCATAATTTCATATAATGATTTTACTAAACGATCCCCCCCTCCCCCCCCCCCCCCAAACGTTGCCTATGATCTACCTCGGCCAAGCTGGAACTATTGGCATCCCGCCTGTGCCTAGTAGTTTAAATGACAAGAGAAAAACGCACGTCGGCTATGTAGACTAGCTGTTCTTTGTCCGCTCATCTAGGCTGGCAATTTCCCCATCGAGTAGGGGAAGGGATCAGATTACCCATATAAAAGTGAAACCACGCCGGAGTGGATGGCCGATTCCATCGATAGCCTGGTTTCCACTGGTTCCCATGACCTGGCGTGCAGAAAATCCCACCCGCCGGGACAAGACTTGCCTTCCCTAAATCTCACACCGGGCCTCACATCTCCGGTTCTAGATCTACTTGGTATTGCCCCTGGTGTACCAGTCCCCTTGTCTGATCTTGTGTTTTCATCGGATAATTGGGATTATAATAGGCATGTGATAAGAAAAAAAAAAAATGCTCTTTTCGGCTCTTAGTGCCGAAAGATAGATTGCTACTGGTGGTATGACAATAATTCCGTAGTTAGTGTCAATGGTGAGAACCTTCCCTCCTCCTGGGTTCTAATCTATCTCCTGCGTTCCTTGCTCGAAAAGTTGCGTAGTAATTAAGCGTTGTTAACAGGGCTGTATATATAACGTTGATTGCATCCACCCATCTCCGTTCCCCTCCTGCAGTGTTCCCCTACCTCTTCCGTCTGTCCGTTACCCCGGGCTAAATCCTTATCGCTGCATCTCCCGTCCACGCAAATCCTCCGCCCGGGGTGTCACTGCTCCCTTACCTATCAACTCGGTTGTTCCTCCAATCCTGCATGGACGGGCTAAATTCTTTCCCTGGCTCCCTCTCCTCTACGCACTTCCCTTCAACCGAGTGCTTCTCCTTCGATTTAACCGGGGAGATGCTAGATCTTAGATCGCTATCTCGTCTAGAAGACCCAGTGTAGTGGCTATGAACAGTATAAACGATGGCGTGCTCTGTTGGAATTAGGATATAGCTACTAGTAATTGGCGTCCTGGGCGAGGAGTTAACCCCCGTCTACGGGACCAACTGCCGAGATCTAGGCGTAGATCATTCGGTCTCCAATACCAAAGTGCCGACGTGTACTACGAGCCGAATGTCGAATCAAGATCGAACGTCAATTATAATTGAACTAAGTATGACAAAAGCCCGCGACCACCCGGAGGTCTGTAAACTGAATGCACAGATTTTCAAGGCCTATGAAATACATCTAGTGGGGTGAAATAAAAGGTAGAATGGGCAGCAAATCATGGACAAAACGTAAGGGATGAGAAGGAACATCAAGTAAAGGGGAGAAAAGCCCGGCCAGGTGGAACAGCAAGCCCATCAGCTGACGACACTTTTACAGCTGTCAAGGCTTTACTGTCCTACCCAAGCCCAGCAGTAGATCATCCATCGCTCATGCTATACATACACGGGGCCAAATGAGGTTTCTTCAGAAGAGGATCCAAGGAGAGCGTGACTGACATGCGTCTAGAAAGGGCGGAAACCGGTAGCCTGCGGTGTGATTCCGTTGGCCTGTCCAAACGCCATGGGGCTTGGCGCCGGCGCTGCCGGGCCCTGGGTCAACATCAACCGCGTGCCGCCCAGAATCGGGGTGTTGTCCTCCTCCGTCTTCTGAGTCACTTCGCGCGACTTGCGTTCTTCGTTGTCCTTCTTCAACATCTCGATCGTGCGCGTCTGCTCGCACAAGAAATTGATCATGAAGGGCATGGTGAAGTCGTTAAGACCATGGCGCCACGAAAGCTCGAGAATAACGTCGGGCCGGATGAGGTCGTAGCAGGCATACAGCATGCCAACGTAGCATTCGCGGCTGCCAATATCGACAAACTAGAAGCGGAGTCAGAATATATCCTTGAGCGCGATTAAGTGGAAAGAGAATTGACTCACGTAGCGAAGAAGATCCTCGACAACATCCGACTTGCCGGAGATGGCGGAAGTCTCGATGGCATCCTTGTAGAGCTTGTCTTGCTTGGACAAGGAGATCGACTTCTCCCAGCGCTTGTTGTTACGGTAAATGTTAGCTGCGATCTGGCGGAAGAAGATCAGATCATGCTTCTCCAACCGCTGGGCGAGTGCCACGGCATCGAAGTTGTCGTAGTTATCGACCGAGTCACGGAGGGTCTTGTAATCCTCCTCCTCGATCAACAAGTCGTTGATGGCATCGTTTACGGCCCTCTTGTTCTGGGTTTGGACATTGAGCAGGAACGGCTTGATCAGAGGAATGTTGTCCGAAGCCTGGAAAATGCGCACGACACGGTTGACGTCAATCCGAGCAGTGAGCACCTGTAGCAAGTCGGTGAGGAGCAAAGGTTGTTCTTGCAGATAGAAGTTGAGCGCACGGTAGTAGATTTCCAGGTTGGCCACCTTGACGATGATGTCCTTGAACGAGTGGTGCTCCCAGGCATCGGCAGCACGCTCCATCATTGCCAATGCAGCGTTGTCCCACTCATCATAGTGGCAGTACAAGAAGACCAGCTCTGGCCAGAGACTTGCGTCCTCGCAGGCCCGAATCATCTTTGGGATATTAATGCGAGACCAGAAGAGCTTGAGGTGTTCCATCACCCGGTCGGGGTGGTACTTAGAGAGGGCAATGCCCAATTCGGTGAACATGCCCATATGCGCCCGTTCCAGACCCAGGCCAGCCTCCAGAACCGCAATGAGCTCGTCAAAGTAGCCATTGCGCTCATACTGGCGCACAAGATCCTGAAGCTCTTCCGCGTGAACGATCAGGTTGAGACCGCAAATTTGGGCAAGGCGGAACTCCTTCTTGTTAACACAAGCTTCGTTGACCTGCTTCCAAACCTTAACACTGTTGGCTTTGCGTGCGCATTCCACGGCTGCCTGGTAATCTTCCAGGTGCACCAAGGTCGTTGCCAATTTGGCCCAGTTGGAAATGCTGGTGTAGAAAATCTTGGCAGCCTGGTGGTAGCCCTCCTCATAAGCTTTGTCACCGGAAGCCTCGACATCTGCAACGTTGGTCGTCCGCAGGAAATCCTCGAGCTCCGAAAGCTGATCGAGACGGGCGTAACAGAAAGCAAGACCCGTGTCAATGGCAGGCTCACGCAAGGTCTTACGGGCCATTTTGAGATACTTGACGAGGTCTTCATCCTTGCCAGCATGCGTAGCCGTTTCGATGACCTCGTTGTAGTTCGCGGGATCGCCGGCACGGATATAGGACTCGATGGAGTCGGACACCCGAAGACCATCCAGCTGGGCCTTGGCAACCTTGCTCCACACCTCCGGTAGCTCGACACGCTCCGCAAATTCTTGCGCGCGGTCAATGCTAACAATGTTCTCAACCAAGACGTTGACGGCGGCAATGAAGTTGTTTACCTTCTTGTAGATCTCAAAGGCCTCCTCGTAAAGACCGACCGAAATGCACATCTCGGCGATTTCATCGGGGCTGAACTCGTTGAGCTGATGGATGTAATCCATCAGGCGTCCCTTATCAGCCTTGGCAGCTGTGAGCATGAGCAAGTTCTGCAGACTGCCGTTGTCGCTGAAAGGAGAGGGCTCGAGAATGATCTTCTCAAGCAACTCGATCAGCTCGCCGGGTAGATCAGCTTCGAGGAAAGCCTTGACAGCGATAGACACTTTGTCGGGCTCAGTCGACTCAGGCACAGCGGTCGCAATGACCTGGTCGACAAGTGAACGCCGATGCATGTTGTTCTCGCTGAGAACGAAGGACCAGATCTCCGAATCGGCTCTCTCCACGAGGTAGCGTGCCTGGGCACGGTACATAGCGTTCTCATTGGTGATATTGATCAGTTCGAGATCATTCTGTCCCTTCCGGTAGGCAATGTATGCCAGGTTCGGGTCACGCTTCTCGCAGTACTTTCCAACGGTGAGAGTGTCGTACAGATCGTTCTCCTTAAGGAACTTCTCGGGATTGTTGTTGCTATCAATATAGATCTTCGCGAGAGCGTTGTAGACAGCCTGCTGCTGGTTACCCGTAGCAAGAGTGGCTTCAAGGAAGGGCAACAGCAACTTGAGCCTGTTTCTGCTCTCGACCTCTGAAACGAGTTCATCAATAGGGATCACCGATGGGTCAACAGTAGAGAGGAGATTCTTGATGATGCTCTCTTCGCAATCAACGTCCAGCAGGCCACCAATGACAGCGGGAGCACGCGATGGGTTGACACGCTGTACGTACACCTCGATGGACTTGTACTGTTGGTTCTGGTACAGATAAAGGACCAAATCATGAATGAAGTTGAAACGGTCACAGACGATGATCAGCGGCAGTTGCTCCGTCAGCTTGGCCTCCTTGAGGAAGTTCTTGACCTTATCCGGATTGTAGTAGTTGCTCTCACGGCAAATCCGTTCAACTTCAGTGATCTGGCCCATGGCGGTGGCGGCCTCAATGTACTTGAAGTGGACCTCAGGGTCTTCGCTAAGGTTGACAATGCTGCCAAGGTAATAGTAGAGACCCTCAGCAGTGCGGTACTTCTCGAGCAGGCTGATAAGTTGCTGGGGCCCCAACAAGTCAGAGAACTTGGTGCAGATCTGAACAACCGCTTGCAAGTTCTGGCGAATGTTAACCTGCAACATTGTGTCCATGCAATCAAGAGTCTGCTCAACGGAGAGACGACCGAAATATTCCATCAACCACTCAGGGCTCAGCTTGTCGGTGCGGACGATATTACGCTTGATGGCCACGGGGTCGTCGGTGTTCTCAAGTGCACGTTGGATGAGGCCTGCATTCTCGCAAAGCTGAGAGATACGAGGGCGGTCGTAGTGGGTGAAGATTTCGTTGCCAAGGATGGCATCGGCGACCTGGGGGGCATTGACAAGGTTCATCTCGAGCAAGCGTGTCTGCAGGTGAC